TTTCTAGACTTAATGATGTGTAAATGATATGATTGGTTGATAATTAGAAAATATATGAAAGAGAGTGTTTTCTTAAAAATCTCAATGGATTGCCACATTATTGGACTTGAAAATTGTGTTTAATTTTTGGATTTGAATAACAATACTCGATATATAATTATTGTTACCATTATAAAGAAAATTTACCATAAGAACTGACTCGTACTTTTAAAGACGAAATAAAAATTTAAAGTTTTCTATAATAAAATCTTAATTAGGTAAAATCTTTAGTAATTTAGGTTACTTTTTATATTTTATATTTATAATTTTTTTTCATAACTAAATTGAATTCAATTAAATATTTTAGACACAAAATAAACTCAATCGATAGTTTAGGAATTAACACTTTTGGCAACACAAAAAATAAGTAGTTTATTGGCTTATTTGAGTAACATCATCTCTCTACTTTTCCATACGTCTTTTGATAATAAGTAAAAAAATAAAAAAATAGGTCATATCCAAATCAACATAAACGTTGATTTATATAATTTATGAACTTAAGAGGCTCAATCAATAGTTTAGTTACTAAGTAGACAATTTGACAATAGTTTATGAATAGAATGTAAAGGGTAATTCTAGTTGCATACCCTACAAACTTTCAGTACAAAATACAATTAGGGTGTATTTGATTGGGGCTATATATTTTTTTTTGTTAGTTAATTATGTGAACCCGTGGTCCTAAACTGATCCAATCTGTGTTCAAATGGATTGGTTTAGATTGGTTTAACGATTTAAATGAATTGGATTAGTTCCAATTTTTTAGGGATTGTAGATAATGGATTAGTCCTTATTTTATTCCAATCTAGACCATACTCACACCTATCTAGTAGTGTGAAATTGATGGGTCTTAGACCTATGAATAGTTGGTAAAAAATTGGAAAGATTGCATTTCAGTTGTACAATGAGAAAATAATTTCATTGTCTATTATGTGTATGGTGCAAATTTTTCGTATGTGTTATACTTGCACGTAGAAATATTTCACTTTGATTGAGAGAATTATAACATAGGATTGAAATTATTAATCCATATAGGACTCACTTTCTATTGTTTGGTTGCAATTTTTGTTATTTGGATTAGATTCCGATGGACATTTTATCCAACAAAATTAGAATATATATATTTTAATTCTACCATGAAGAATTCCAAATAAATATATAATTGGAATAACATATTTTCATATCTATTGCAAACAAATGTGGATAAGAAATTATTTTCTTCACTAATTCAGTTGGATAAACAATTCTACACTAATTTTATAGATTGTCAATCCTCTCACTATTAATCTTAGTAATCAAATAGGACCTTATAATATTATTTTAAGACTTTCTCACTTATTTACAATTTTTTTTTTAAATAATAATTAATTTCTTGCTATTTGAAGTATTAACTCTTTTGAGAAAATTGTTGAAAAGTCCAATCTAAGGAAGGTATAAGCATTAGGTGTAGTAGATATTTTTTGTTGATGAGAGGTCCACATTTTATGAAATAGTTTGGTGAGAAATCATTTTAATGTTTTAAAAGGCACTTTTTTTTTTCCACATTTTACGCCATATCTATATATTGAATTTTTTTGACTATCTGTTTATTTTTTTTTGATTATATGTACAAATATTTTTTTATCTGTTTAATTTTTTGACTATTTGTTCAATTTTTTTCTCTTATCTGTTCAAATATCTGTCCAAGTAAAATCTATCTATTGAAATTCTGTGCAAAGTTTTTGACTATATGTCAACTCGAATTCATTGACATTCAAGAGGATCTGTTCAGATCTATCCACAAGAGCCACCGCAGACGACAGCTTGGTGGTAGAGCTGCCGCTGGGGTAGGTGACAACGACATTCGATTTGGAAATAGCCCCCAAAACCCTAGAGCGTGATATGGATCTAGATCTGAGCAGCGATGGCACCATTGATGCAGTGGACACAGAGACGGTGATAGTGAGGAAACAAAGAAGAAAGAGTGAGAAGAAGATGGAGAGAATGACGGTTAGGAGGCAGAGTGGTGGACGACGATGATGAGAGAGAGAGAGAGAGAGAGAGAGAGTTTGGTTTGGTCATTTGTTTCCACGGACCCTGTATACCATACATATACATGGGTAGTTTAGTCATTTTACGTAAGCTTATCCTTATGGACAAAATATTTTAAAGAGTGGACCTTTGGGCAAAGAAAATTCAAAATTGAATTTTTTAGACTGAGTGCCCTAATTGTTTTGGGTTTATTTCATTATCTATCCCTAAACTATTGTCAAATTGTCTACGAATTGTCGATTGAATCTATCAAATCCCTAAATTATATAAATCAAGTCTAGTTGGTTTCTAAAATATTTAATTCAAACCTATTTAGTTGTTGAAAAATTATAAAAATAAAATATAAATCCATAAGTATTATAAATTAGTAAAAGACTCTACCGAGTTAAACTTTTATTATAGAAAGATTTTAAGTTATATTCTATCTTTAAAAGGTGTCTTGTTTTGCTCTATGTATATTAGGCCCCGTTTGTTTTTAGAGGTAGAATGGAGGAGATTGGTAGTGAGGGGATTAATAGTGAGGGGATTAAGTAAAATTGTGTTTGTTTTGATGATAGTTGTTAGTGTAGGAATTGTTAAATTATTTTTATATAAAATAATAAAACAAATAAAAAAATATAAAAAATTAAACATTAATATTTTTTTAAAAAATCCCAATATATAAAAAATAAAAAAATTTCTAATCCCCTCACTATTTTTCTAATACCATCTCCCCCTCCTCCATCTCAATCCCCCTTCCAACCTCCATCTATATTACCTCCTCCATCCTAATCCCCTCCCCAACTCTACAAACAAACACAACACTAAATAACCCCACCTCTATCCTAATCCCCTTCCATCTATTTAACCCCAAAACAAACGGGGCCATAGAGTCTACTTTCTCATATTTGCCAATAAAATTATATAAGTATTACATATATTGAAGAAGTAGAATAAAATAATTTAAATAGGGCTCATTTGGGAATCTAGTTACAAGCCAGCTTTTAACTTTTAACCTATTTTGGGTCATATCACCTCTCACATTTTTTATCCATCACAAGGCAAAAAAATCACAAAAAAAAAAGAAGCTAAAAAATCAATTTTTAATCAATTTCTCAAAACACCCCATAATAGCACTTCATTATAAATAATAATAGCACAAAATAATATATTAATTAAGTTATTAAAAAAACTTAAAAGTAAAATTTAAAGACAATCAATTAGAAATTATAAACGAAATCTCACATATTATACTAGATGAAAGCAAACAAGAAACTATTGTAGAAGATAAGTAAGACAATAATATAGATAAGGAAAATGATATATAAGCCTCCGTTTGGGAAGTGGGTTGGCTTTTTGACTTTTTGGTTTTTTTGGTTTTTTTGGCTATTTTAGCCTGGGCTTAAAAGCTTGGTTTGGGAAGGGCTTTTTGGCTTTTTGGCTTTTTGGCTTTTTTGAGTTTTTTTGTGAGAGAAGAATGTAATGATTATGGGTTGGATGTGATGTTTTGTTTGTCATGGCTAAAATAGCCTATTTTGTCTTTTGTGGCTAAAATAGCCAAAAACGCCCAAGAACCAACTTGCCAAACAGAGGCTAAGTAACTTTCTAGATCTATTTTCTAGACTCAATGATGTGCAAATGATATGATTGGTTGATAATTAAAAAAGATATGAAAGAGAGTGTTTTCTTAAAAATCTCAATGGATTGCCACATTATTGGGTTTGAAAATTGTGTCTAATTTTTGGATTTGAATAATAATACTCGATATATAATTATTGTTACCATTATAAAGAAAATTGACCATAAGAACTGACTCGTACTTTTAAAGACGAAATAAAAATTTAAATTTTTCTATAATAAAATCTTAATTAGGTAAAATCTTTAGTAATTTAAGTTACTTTTTATATTTTATATTTTATTTTTATAATTTTTTTCATGACTAAATTGAATTAAATTAAATATTTTAGAGACAAAATAAACTCAATCGATAGTTTAGGAATTAACACCTTTGGCAACACAAAAAATAAGTAGTTTATTGGCTTATTTGGGTAACATCATCTTTCTACTTTTCCATACGTCTTTTCATAATAAGTAAAAAAATAGGTCATATCCAAATCAACATAAACGTTGATTTATATAATTTATGAACTTAAGAGGCTCAATCAATAGTTTAGTTACTAAGTAGACAATTTGACAATAGTTTATGAATAGAAAGTAAAGGGTAATTCTAGTTGCATACCCTACAAACTTTCAGTACAAAATACAAATAGGGTGTGTTTGATTGGGGGATAAGGAGAGGGGGGAGGGGGGAGTATCCACTGTTGGGATTGTAATCTGGGGGAAGCTTTTTATCCGGCGTTTGTTTTTTTTTTTTTAGTCCGCCAGACGTGGAGTCCGACCGGACTTCTTATCCCTCATATGGGGGATTATACTATTCTAGGGGGGTATGAGACAATTTTCATTAGACTATTTACAGTTGGGATTAGAATGTGAAATGACCATTTTGACCTTCTACTATTTAATTATGTATTATATTTAGTAAAATTCAAGAAAATTTAAATGTCTCAATGTAAAAATAAAATAATTTTGTTTACCTTTTTATTGATGTTTTATTTATTTAATTTTTAAAATAATTTTTTATAGATATTTTTATTGCTATTTCATTTTAAAATTTTGTTTATATTTTATTTAATTTCATTATCTAAATTTTAATAGATGTTTTATTTAATTTCATTGTTTAACTATTATTATTTTTAAAAATAAATTTATTAAAATTTTTAATTTAAAAATAACATATATTTTTATTGATATTTTATTTATTTATTTTTTAAAAAATAAAATTATTTAATTGTGTAAAAAATAAAATAAAAAAAATAAAATTTTATTTTTTGTTCGAAAGTTTATATTCGAATATACCATTTATAGTGTGTACTGTAGAGTTTGTATAAACCCTGTTTTTTTTGTCTGTTTGTTTGTTTTTGTTTCAATGGTTGAGGATAGCTGCAAGCCTGCAAGATGCTGCGATTGTCTCGTTCCTGTCCTCGGGGATGACGAAACGTTCCTCTAGAGGGAATCATACCTCTGTCTTCAGTTGTTTCTGATCATGCAATTGAGAATATTAACTTCGAATTCTCGCACAAATCGCAGTTGGAATCTTCAAAACCAAATACCAAGAGACAAAACACATCCATTCACGCTGCGATGATTTCCATCTCTCACTTCTCTCTCTCTTGCATTTTTTTTGTTATTATTATTATTATCAGAGCTATAATACCCAGAATCTCCATCAAGGTATTAGAAATTGTTTTGAAAATTGTGAGCAAGGAATGGGAGGAGGGGATACACAGCAGTGTTGAGAGAGTTTGGTGTCAATTTTCTCGAGAAAATGGGGATAATAACCCATCTGGGTTCAAGGTTTTTTGCCTTGTTGTTTCTCTCTCTGCTCTCCGTCTTCGTCTTCGTTCACACCAAGTCCAGTTCGCGTGACGCTGCAGTAATGCTTATTCTGAGGCAGAATCTCAATGCATCCAAGTCACTAGGTTGGATCGACCCGGACCCTTGCCAATGGCAACACGTGAGTTGTTCCGAAGACGGGCGGGTCACCCGGATTCAAATCGGGTATCAGAACCTCACCGGTTGTCTCCCTTCGAACCTCAGCTACCTCACCGCCTTGCAGATACTCGATCTCTCTTCTAACCAACTCCAGGGTCCGCTTCCTAGTCTTGCCGGGTTGAGCTCACTTCAGAACCTGTCGCTCAGCAACAACAACTTCTCTTCCATTCCTTTCGATTTCTTCTTCGGCATGACGTCCCTCGAAAGGGTCTATCTCGACAACATCCCCTTCCATCCGACTCCGATACCGATCAGTCTCCAAAACGCATCAAACCTTAAGGTCTTCTCGGCCAACGCCTCTAATTTCTCTGGCAAAATTCCCTATTTTTTTGGCAAGTTTGCGAGGCTGACGACACTTCACTTGGCGTTCAACAACCTTCACGGTGAGCTGCCGGCGACCTTTTCGAGTTCTTCAATTCAGTCTCTGTGGTTGAATGAGCAACAGAGTACTTATAAGCTCCATGGTTCGATTGATGTCATACAGAATATGACCCAGTTGAAGGAGGTGTGGTTGGATTTAAATTCCTTTTCGGGTCCAATGCCGGACTTTTCTAGGCTTATGGGGTTGGAGAGCTTTAGGGTGAGGGACAATAGCATTACAGGTCAAGTACCAGCATCTATCTTGGATCTTCCATGGCTTAAGGTTGTGAGTTTGACCAACAATTTGCTACAAGGGCCGACCCTGAAGTTTAACTCTTCTGTTACAATTGACATGGAAACTGGGTCTAATAGTTTCTGCTTACCTGCTCATGGAGCTGCCTGCGATCCCCGGGTGAATACATTACTTTCCATTGCTCAATTTAGTGGTTACCCGGTTGTGTTCTCAGAGAATTGGAAAGGAAATGACCCTTGTAAGGCATGGCTTGGGCTCCATTGTGAGAACGAAAACATTACTGTTGTCAATTTTTCATATTTGGGTCTTACGGGTATGATTTCTCCAAACTTCTCGTCAATCGTTTCATTACAAATACTAATCCTTGCTAGTAATAATCTAGTGGGTATGATCCCGAATGAGCTTACAACTTTGCCTAACCTTAGAGAATTAGATATCTCGAACAATTGCCTTTATGGAAAAATTCCTTCATTTAAGAGTAATGTGGTTGTAAACACTAATGGAAATCCTGATATTTGGATGGATGTTGACAGTGGCAATATGTACTTATCCGTAGTGAATCTAGGCTTGGTAATTGGTGGTATTTGTGTAGTTTTATTTGCTGGGATTTTGATATATATGTGTAAACGAAAGCATTATGGTCATATTCATGTTATTGAATCTGAACGAATGGTAATCTCTATTCATGTGTTAAAGAATGCGACTAGCAATTTTAGCCAAGAGAATATATTGGGAAGAGGCGGATTTGGAATTGTTTACAAAGGGGCGTTGCATGATGGGACTAAGATTGCGGTTAAGAGAATGGATTCTGGAGTGCTATGTGAAAGGGGTTGGGATCAGTTCAAGTCTGAGATTATTGTGCTGAGTAAGGTTCGACATAAGCATTTGGTTTCTCTTTTTGGATATTGCTTGGATGCAAATGAGAGGCTACTTGTTTATGAATACATGCCTCAAGGGACTCTTAGCAGACATTTGTTTAGATGGAAGGAGGAAGGGTTGAAACCCCTTGAATGGTTAAGAAGGTTGACCATTGCACTAGATGTGGCTAGAGGAGTTGAGTATCTACATGTTTTAGCCCATCGAAGTTTTATTCATAGGGATCTGAAACCATCAAACATTCTTCTAGGAGATGATATGCATGCTAAAGTTGGTGATTTTGGACTTGTGCGTCTTGTACCAGATGGGAAGTCTTCAATTCTAACTAAACTAGCAGGAACTTTTGGATATCTAGCACCAGAATATGCAGGTATTTTTTTATAAAGCGAAAATTGTACATATACACAGTTCTTATACAAAACTCATCCAAAATTATAGGTCTTTCCTTTGAAATTAAGAGAACCACCAATATAGAATCATTATTCTAGATAAAAATTTTGTATTCCTATTCTATTTTTACACATTATTTTTTTTAAAACTCATTTTGATTTACATTTACTACTATTTTTACTTTTCCTTTATAAGATTTTTAAATCGAAAAGTTTGTTGGGCTTGAAATGGTAAAAAATTGATTACATATTTTGAATTTAATTGCAAAATAAGAGAACAATATGAAACATCCCGCAAACATCAAAAGTATTCACTAAACCTTGATAAAAAGATGGGTGATTCTATTTGCACCCAAATAGTAACTCAGTATGCCCAACAAAAATTTTGAATTTAATTCTTATTATACTCAAATGTAAATTTACTAATAAGGACAATACACATTAAACTTTAAAATAAAATATTATTTTTTTCTCATTATACATTTTAATCACTTAAACGCATTCTTCATATTTAAGTCTCTTCTGTAAAGACTAATCCACCCAAATAATAAAGGTAGTTCCCATAGAGTTATTAGGTTGGCTTCTACATGTATTTGGGTTTGGATGGTGGAGTTCGGAATCAACTAGGAAACCTAATATGTGTAGGATTTGGTTACTTAATTATATGAAATTAGGATTCTCATGCGTATACTATCACTAATAGTCATGTGGACTATAGAGTTTCTCTTAGAGAGATTGAGAGATTGAGAGAAGGGGGAATAGAGATGTAAGAGGTGAGAGAACAAAAATACCGTGAGGGCACCAAGTGAGCAAGGGCTAAACTACCCTTGAGCATGGTGTTCGGGTAGTAGTATCGATTTTGAGTATTTTGGCCATCTCACATATATACTCTATTTTATTCATAGTGGAAATTCTCTCTCCTATGAATGTAGACAATTTGGGCCAAACCACATAAATCACTGTGTGATTGTTATTCTCTTTGGTGTGTGCATGGGTGTGCTTCCGTTTGGCATTGGTAGAATGTGGTATAAATCCCAACAAGTGGTATCAAAGCTTAAAGGTTATCGATCCTAGGTGATGTTGGGAGAGGTGTGATTATTGGACAAGGAGGACTCGCACCGAAAAGAAAGAAATCGCGGTGGTATAGAAAACAAACCAAAAAAAAAAAAAAAAAAAAAAAAAAAAAAAAAAAAAAAATTCAAAATCTAGTGAAGGCTTCTGCAAGAAGAAATATGGTAAAAAAATTCATAGTGGATGGATTCCAAGGTTTTCAAGGGTTGTGATTTCATCGGTACGGTAAGAATTTTCAAATTCTAAATAGGTTTAAAGGGATTGAATAGATTCAAGGGCAATCAAAGGTGATTGCATGTGATCTAAGTGATCTAAGATCAATCTAGTTCAATCAATGATGGATGACCAATGGCAACTTGTACATGCTTATGGAGTATGTTGGGACAAGAGAGGAGCTACTGTTAAGAATCAGGTGAGTAGTATGAGTCGTGGGTGGACAATGGTGAGCAACAGTTGCAAGGATATTTGGTGGTCACCAACAGGAAAACAATGGATTGCTTGATGTTCACAGAAAGAAGCTCTGGGTATAGAAGTCGTGACCGTCTCATGACGAGGAGGTGTACACCAAAGGAAGTCGAGTCTTTTTCTATGAAGGTTTTGGTTCGTGGTAGTGTAGACACCTCAAGGAAGTGTGGCGGATCCCATAGGCTCAAGCATGAGGACAACGGAAGACACAAAGGACGCGTTTGAAGCACCATGGTTCAAGGGTTGTAACATTTTCTAGGTGAAGGTGGAGTATAAAACACAAACCAGGACATCTAAGTTGGAGGATGCATATAACATTTACCCCACATGGGTGGAGGGGGTGATTGTTAGGATTAGTCCACCCATGTGGTAAAGGTAGGTCCTTTATAGTTATTAGGTTGGTTTTATTTGGGTTAGGATAGTAGAATTCGAAATCAATTAGGAAACTTAGGCCTCGTTTGGCAAGAGGCTATTTTAGCCAATTAGCCAAAAAGTTACTAAATTAGCCAAAAAGCCAACAACCTATACCAAAAAGTCAAAGATTCTCTTTTCTCTCTACTTTTTGCACATCTTTTCGTAATTAGCCAAAAAGTGATCCCAAACATACAAGTTTTTTTTACCTACCTTTTTAGCCAAATAGTCAAAAAGTTACTAAATTAGCCTGTTCCCAAACGAGGCCTTAATATGTGTAGGACTTGGTTACCTAATTGTATGGAATTAGGATTCTTATGGGTATAGTATTATAAATAGTCATGTGAACTATGGAGTTTCTCTAAAAGAGATTGAGAGATTGAGAGGAGGAAAAATAGAGATATAAGGGGTAAGAGAAAAAAAATCGTGAGGGCATCGAGTGAGCAAGTGCTTAACTACCATTGAGCATGGGGTAAGGGTAGTAGTGTGGGTTTTGAGTATTTTGGCCATATCATATGTGTTCTTTATTTTATTCGTAGTGGAAATTCTTTCTCCTGTGGATGTAGGCAATTTAGGCTGAACCACGTAAACCTGTATGTCATTTTTTCTCTTTGGTGTGTGCGTGGGTGTGCTTTTGTTTGGCATTGGTGAGATGTGGTATAAATCTCAACATCTTCATCTTCTTTCCCAAGTTTAGTTATTTTCTCTTCATCATTTTTCTCACTCCAAAACTCCAATCCATCTCATCAAAACTGACTATCATCATTAACATTATTCAGTGTGTTTGGTTTGAGTTTTTTGAATTAAGTTTTTTGAAAATTAAGTTTTTTGGTTTTCATGTTTTTTTGTTTTTAGTGAATATTTTTTAAATTTTAAACATTTTTTTTTTTTACTTTTTAGATGCACCTTACTTAGATGAATCTAAACCAAACCAAACCAAACCAAGCCTTAAGTCCTATCAAATGGGGTCCGCTACATGAATCATTCTTCTCCACGTGGCCCTATCAAAGGCCATTTCATTAGTCAAATTAAGTAGATTCATATCTCTATTTGTCAATGTTAATCTAGACCTACCTCGTCCCCTAACACTTCCATCTACCGTTATAGTATCGCATCTCTTCACTACTGCCTCTGTTGGTCTCTGTTGAATATGACCAAACCATCTCAAACGATTCTCTCTCAACTTATCTTCTATCGGTGCTACTCCTACCCATTCCCGAATACACTCATTCCTAATCCTGTCCTATCTAGTCTTATCACACATCCACCTTAGCATCCTCATTTCAACCACACTCATCTTATCCACATGTTGTTTCTTGGTTGCCCAACACTCCATCCCATACAACATAGCTGGTCTAATAGCCGTTCTATAAAATTTACCTTTTAGTCTAGTGGGTATTCGTTTATCGCACAATACCCCAGACGCACTTCTCCACTTACACCATCCCGTCTTAATCCTATGGGCCACATCTGCATCAATCTCTCCCGCTGTTGTGATAATCGACCCTAAATAACGAAAATGTTCACTCTTAGACAGTTCTTGGTTCTCAATCTTCACTTATCCTCTGCTTTCATTGTTACTGTTACTAAATTTACACTCCATGTACTCTGTCTTAGTTCTGCTTATCCGAAATCCTTTAGATTCAAGAGCTTTTCTCCAAATCTCCAACTTTGTGTTAACTCCTTCTCCAAAGTAAAAAATTTGTGAAAAAATATTTTAAAAAATTAATAAATACATAAAAATGTACTGAATTCTCGTATTTTTTTTTTTGTATTTTGGATATTTAGTGAATTTTTAAAAGGTTTTCTTCACAAATTTTTTACTTTTTAGATACATCTAAGTTAGGCATGTCTAAAAATTTAAAAAATTGCTTAAAATATTAAAAAAAATCAGTAAAAACAAAAAAACATGGAAAATAAAAAAGTAGAATTTTCTGAAAAGTATTTTTTGAAAAGTAAAACCAAGCATAGTGAGTTTCTTCTCCACTTTCTCTCTCTACAAACCCACAAACCTTCTCTCTCTCTCTCTCTCTCTCTCTCTCTCTCTCTTCAATCTCCTTTTCTACTTTCTCTCTCTAAAACACACATACCTTCTCTCAATTAAATTTACAATTGGAATGGATTCTCTTAACCAAAAATTTCAACAAAAAATTGATAAATATGTCAATGAATCAAACCCAAAACTAGATTGAAAACAACAACAATTAACATAGTTCCCAAAATGGGTAGATAAATAAACATTAAGTAGAAGAAGAGTGGCTGAAGAGAGGGTTTTCCCTCTGAGGTTCAAATGAGAATCTACTAAAAAATTTGGCAATACAACCATCTCAAAACTCAAATTATTTTTAGGGCAATCGTTGACAAACATGATGACAACAAACATATCTACGTTAGCCACCACAATCATTGGAACCAACGATGAAGTCCACATCGTCTTTGTTGATTCAAGGTAGTACGAAGGTGAGTAATAACTTGATGGGTTTGTATTGCCTTTGTTCTTCATACCTAGTCATTGTTCTTCGTCATCTTCTTCTTCTTCTTCTTCTTTAGTATTTACAAATGACGAGAGTATTGGAGTATCGTGGTTGAGAAGAGAGGAAGAGAGGAAGGGAGTCTTTTTTGAATTGATTTTTTTTTTTTTTTTGGCTATGCCACAAATTATGATTTTATCTTGAAGGGTAATTCGTGAAAAAAACATGAGGTGTATTGAGAGTAAATTATAATTCTAAATAATTTAATTGAGAGTACTGAGAAATTGGGTGTACTGAATAATTTTTTGGGTGCAAATAGAATCACCCTAAAAAGATTAGATTAGTGCGATACAAGCAAAACAAAACTATATAGTATATTTGTACTAAATGATGCGGCCAAATTGGGGGCTTTTCATTAAAAAACAAAACAACCATCATGGTGGTTTCAAATTTAAAAAATGCTTTTCACAAATATGCTGGAACAATTTTGTGTACAATCTTAGAGTAAGAATAGCATTTCTTAGAAGATTAGCTAGCAAAGTATGAGTTTTGACATAATGCAATGGGATTTGATGCTTTTATTTTTCCTTTCTTCCAAACTAATTATCCAAGAAGATAGGCCTTACTTGTTCTAGAAATAGTAGATTGAGTTTATTTACCATGTTCAATTGAACGGTCCTTTTATCTCTTAATTGTTTCATTTGGTGTTAATGTTTGAAACCAGCATTACAAATATTAGAAAGAATGATTTATTGTCAAATTAGATGATTTGTTACATTCAGAAAGATGGATTCATATCACGAAGTTGTGATCTAGCAGGATGTTTTTATCTAATTAGACAGTCTCCTCTAGTTAGAGTTTATTTTCGTATTTTTTATTTTTTACGTTTGAACAATTTGCGGCCATTATATAAGCATCACTTATTATTATCTTTAATTTTCATGTTTTTATCAATTGAGGTTTAGGTACATAATAGTTTAACTAATGCGTGGTTGTAACATGGACCATAAAACAAAAAAGGCATTGGTTGATAACACTATCTTCTTTAGCGGCATTGGATTTAACATTCATTTGACTTCTTGTACTTTGGTTATATGTAAGACCCTAAGGCCATGTTTGTTTGGGCGGACTGGATTAGCATTCCCATGACTAATAGTCCTAGGGGTACAAATCCATTAGATTATGTATCCTATCTTAACTAATAGTCAAGTTTAAAATAATTAGTCCGTACTTTAATTGTTTAATCAAACATTGGATTAGTAATTTTATTGGACTATTAGTCCAATCCCAAACTCATGTCCACCCAAACAAACATGACCTAATAGTATTAGATTAAGTTTAATGTGTTAATTTATTTTTGTAGTTCATGAAATGTGTTTGTTGAGCTTTTAACGTTTTCAATAAAATAATCTAACCATTGTTGGAGGAGGATTATTATTTGGAACTTATATAGTTTCGTTATTATATCATATATGTTTGTTATATGTAAGACCCTAATAGTATTAGATTAAGTTTAATGTGTTAATTTATTTTTGTAGTTCATGAAATGTGTTTGTTGAGCTTTTAACGTTTTCAATAAAATAATCTAACCATTGTTGGAGGAGGATTATTATTTGGAACTTATATAGTTTCGTTATTATATCATATATGTTTGACGAGCCTATGCAAAAGATGAATTATCACATTTTTTGGGTTGAATTGCTAGGTGGAAGGATTCCTACTTTCTGAATGTTCAATGTGTTATGGATTTGCTAGTTCTCTATTTGTGGTTCTCATTAGAACATCTCCAATGGTTATTGCTAGAATACCATTGCTATTGTTATAATTTGGCAATGAATAGTATTATTTTGTCAAATTACAGCAATGGTGCTCCAATAGTCACTTGTTATTTTGGCAATTTTCAACCAACTTTCCCTCCAAGTTTGTAGGTGTTATTTGGATATAGATTTTTTTGTGATTTTATTTTTGTTTATTTTTTTTGTCTTTTATGACTTTTTATTTTTTTGTGATTTTATTTTTGTTTATTTTTTTTGTCTTTTATGACTTTTTTTAAACTATTTGTAAAAAAAATTATATATTTATATTATTCTCGACTAGACAAATATATAAAATGAAAAAAATTAGAAAAAAAAATAAATATAATTCAATTTGAAAAATTAAATAGAAAAATTACTTGGTTTTTTATTGTTTTAATTCTGTTTTTTCAACTGAATTTGGAGTCACAAATATGTTCATATTTGTTAATGTGGCATGTTTGACAATTACTATTTTACTTGCCAAATTTGAGAACTGATATGACATATGCCATCTTTGGCAAGTAAAATAGCAAGTCATTGGAGACTTACTTTTGATCACTATTGCTAAATTATAGCTTTAACAAGTATTTTGAGAGCTCCATTGAAGATGCTTTTAGGCATCTCTTCAAATTTAAGCATCCAAATCTTTTGTTCATTTCTTAGTCAAAGAAAAGGTCATTCCATAGTACGCAACCCCCATGCTTCACATGTGACTTATAACTCAATGTAGTTGAAGTTGTAACTTTGATCACACTGAGTTTTAACCTTTTTATTTATTTATTTTTTATGAAGTTTTAACTTTTGAAAGCATGCATCATTCGCATTGTTAAATTTGTCTCACGTAAGATATACTCTAATATTGAAATGTTGGACGACTTCATTAAAATCGAGTATTTTTTCCAAATCAAGACAGTCTTGTGGTACATAATTTTCAAATTAATGTTTTTTTTAACCACTTGTTGAGTATGAATTCAATCTTTAAGTTGTACTTTCAATACATGACTTCTTGAAGTCATGTTTTAGTAATAGGGCTTTAATTAGTTTATTGTAAAAAATTCTTGAAAGTCATATTTTTATGATACAATTTCTAGTAGAGCAATGATTCTTAATTTGAATTACATGCCGACACCGAGTCATTTAGTAGTTCTTCACTGCTTCTCTAGTAGAGCCTATGATTTTTAGACCAACCACAATCGACAACATGGTTGGCTTTGACTTGAACATTCGGCATGCTCAACATTTTCCTTTCAAATATTAAGTCATGTTTTTAGAAACATGATTTATAAGATTGAAAAGTAAATTTTAAAAAAGTATATATATTTATACATTTCATAAAAAAAACTTGTGTTTGTTAAATAATTCAAAATTTTTGTGTGATTGAATAGTGACAGGACGAGTGACAACTAAGATTGATGTGTTCAGTTTCGGAGTGATTTTACTGCAGTTGATTACTGGAAGAAAAGCAGTAGTTGAACTTGAGACCGAGCATGATGAGTACGTTGGTATTGTTGCTTGGTTCTACAAAATGCGTATGCAAAAGGATGCATTTCACAAGGCTATCGACTCAACAATTAACCTTGATGAAGAAACACTTGTTAGTATTGATACTGTTGCTGAGTTGGCGGGCCATTGTTGTGCAAATAATCACTCTCAGAGGCCCGATATGGGCCACATAGTCAATGTGCTTTCAACTCTTGTTGATCATTGGAGTCCATCCAACTCTCATTGTGATGAGGGATTTGGCTCATTTGGTGAGGTTAAGCCAAAAGATTATAGCCAAATATTTTGAAATTAGTTCCCAAAATTTTGTCATATTCAAATTATTAGTTACAAGAGCATATAAATATGTAGAATATTTCAAAATATTTGTAAAAGGCTTTAGAACTCTTCATATTTTAAAAAATAAAAGTGTATGGAGTAGTAGTAATCTTAATGTAAAAATAAACTCCAACATTTTTCTATGATCATTTTCTTTATAATTTTTTTTTTCTCTTTCTCACCCGCTTTGTCTCTTTCTCGCTCTCACTCTCACTCTCTATTTTTTCTCTTTCGCACGCTCTCACTCTCTCTCATTCTCCGACACCATCACCACCATCATCCATCCAAATCCATCTCTGATCCACACAAATCCATTTCTGATCCACACCAAATCCATCACCGATCTTTACCATCATCTCTGATCCTCATCATTGTCACAGATCTTCACAATCATCACAGATCTTCATCGATCCTCACATCCACCAACATCGGTTCCCTATTAGAATGATAAATTGGGTTTTGGAAAGTATAATATTTCTTTTATGGTTGTATTTAATACATTTTTTTTTTCTTTTATACAAACTGCTTCTACCCGGTATGAAGTATTTCGTTTAATTTTTCTTTTCTCATTTTTTTGCTAATGCACTCATTGTAGTTGTGTTAGGCCAGATCTTCATGGCCCTTGGTATTATATATTGGTAATCTATTTCTTTAAATTTATATCATATGGCTAGTTTGTTTTTTTATTTTTTTATTTTTTTAAAAGACTAATTATGTAATATTTTGAGATTGAAACAGACTAGGAAGCAAACTCTTAGGGCTGTTTTGTGAAAAAATTATATTTTGATTATATGCATAACTTGAAGGGGGGGGGGAGTTTGTAAAATTATCAAATGAATTTTTTTTTTCTTACTCCTTATTTGCACCAAAATTTCTTTTTATGTCAAAGGAGGAGAAGTTTTTGACAAAGAGGAAAAAATAAATGCTTACATTTTTATTTCAAAGGGAGAAAATATTTGTAGATTACATGCGAGTCGTGAGTAGGTTTCATAGATTTTTTGGTCTTAATTTCTCTCAATAGCTTTTCATGAGCCTCCCGAACTTGAACATCCCTATTTTCAATCTCTGTGAGTCTTGACATTATAATAGTTGCATAATATTGCACCGCATTCTCCAACTGTGAATTTTTACTGTCTAGACTATCTTCGCCTGACAAGTTTTAACAAGTTATTGTTTTAAATAGATCACATCTTCTTTTAATCATTGATTCTCTTGGATTCTTGTTTGAGGTCGACGAGTCATATTGAAAACCGCAGTCATCACCTGAGTGCTTACAATTACCAAATACACTAGGACTTTCATTTACTGAAATAGCGTGTGAATGCACTATGGGTAACCTTTCATCTATCCCGAATCGCAGGCACCTCATTTAAGTCAGAACTATTGATGGACAAAGTAATGAATGATATAATTACACGTAGTGTAAACAAATTATTTTTTTTTTACTAAGAACACTTGAAGAATTTGTATATCTACGCATCATCTATATCACTTTTTATACACACAACAGATATAATAATCGATGCATATCTGCTCAAATCTTTTATTAGTCAACATTTTAGGCGCCTTACCCAAATTTTTATTTTATTTACTGTTTTTTGTTCTTAATTTCTCTCAATAGCTTTTCATGAGCCTCCCGAACTTGAACATCCCTATTTTTAATCTCTGTGAGTCTTGGCATTATAATAGTTGCATAATATTACACCGCATTCTCCAACTGTGAATTTTTACTGTCTAGACTATCTTCGCCTGACAAGTTTCAACAAGTTATTGTTTTAAATAGATCACATCTTCTTTTAATCATTGATTCTCTTGGATTCTTGTTTGAGGTCGACGAGTCATATTAAAAACCGCAGTCATCACCTGAGCACTTACAATTACCAAATACACTAGGACTTTCAGTTACTGAAATAACGTGTGAATGCACAATGGGTAACCCTTCATCTATCCCGAATCGCAGGCACCTCATTTAAGTCAGAACTATTGATGGACAAAGTAATGAATGATATAATTACACGTAGTGTAAACAAATTATTTTTTTTTTACTAAGAACACTTGAAGAATTTGTATATCTACGCATCATCTATATCACTTTTTATACACACAACAGATATAATAATCGATGCATATCTGCTCAAATCTTTTATTAGTCAACATTTTAGGCGCCTTACCCAAATTTTTATTTTATTTACTGCCAGATAACAAATCTCAACAATGATCACGGGGGAGAAATAAGAAATACTATTAAATTTTTTTTGTCAATCAGATTATTTGCTATATCTCTGAAAAATTGATTAAATGTGTTCATATGATTTTTGTTTTGGGCACATAACCTTTTCATTCTCTATAATGCTTATATCAATCTTTTATTTTGATGATGTCAAAGGGGAAGAAAAATATGAATTTGAAGTCTAATTATCAAATATTTGATGTTGCAAAAATTCAAATGATATTAATGGATGATTTTAATTTTGTGTCAAATCTATACATGTATTGACATAATCAAAAAAGAAGAGATTGTTAATCCTATGGCTTGATTTTGATGATGTCTAAATTATTTTGGACAAATTATGCATTTCTTTAATATTTACTCTTTATATCTTTGACACAAAGTTAGACATAATTATTTACAAATGCATGTTTTTGTCTGTAGCATACTAACAAGATGCATAGAAAGGTAATATTCATTAAATCAGATAAATTACTATTTATGATAAATTGTGCACTATTAATTCTTTGAATATATTGTAAGTTACTGTGCATAATTTGAGATATGAATAGTAAATTTACTATGCATCATATAATTTTTAATAGAAAAATTAATTTGCAAATAGTATTTCACTATTCAACGAAAGCCACCTTTGGCCTATAATTTCAAAATTTTACTATTAGTTGAAAGAGACTTTTGGCCTATAATTTCAAACTTCTACCTACAATTTGAAAGTGAAAAAGCTGAAGCAACGTTAAAAGTCGGAAGAGAATCATCACCCTTTTCCAACCGATATATTTTTTGGTTGTAAAAGAAGTATTTTGTTTGGAGAAAAATAAGAAGTAAAGAAGAGAAAAATTTGTGATATTGAGATATTTTCAAATATTGTGTTGTGTATTTTCAGTGATTTATTATTTCTTTTGAGAGAAAATTTATCGATAGTTTGAGCAAAATTGTAAAAGGGTTTTCTATCCTCTTGTTATTCTTGTAAAAAAAAGAGTTTCTGTGAATGATTTTTGGGATAAAATCACTTGATGAGGTGTGATTAGGCAATGGATTCTAAACTAGTTGGTTGGAGTGATTGGAATTGGTCACTTGTTATAAAGGTTAACTAACACCTGTGAAGCTAGTGATGTTACTATTTGAAGAATAGTAGAGAATTCTCAAGGAAGAACTTGAGGAGTAGATGTAGGCCCAGTTGTGCCGAGCTATTATAAATCGTTAAATTTGATTTCTCTTCTCTTTGCTTATGTTATTTCATTGCTCTATTTTATATTGTTGAGCATTTTTATTTATTTATTACTTGGGTTAAATTTTAATTTAGCAATTTATGTAGAAACCTAATTCACCCTCCTTTGGGTTGCCTACTTGGGTTAATAATTTCATCTAGTGTAAAAATACTTTTTGAATGAGAAATTGCATTAATCAGGGTATTTCGCTTATTGGTTGTGTATCATCCTTTGTGGGGGTGAGATTTCGGACTATTTTGAAAAGATAGTTATAATTAATTTTTTAATGAAAAACTACTTATAAATAATTTTTTTGTGAGAGAGGAAGTGAATTATAATCTGGGAAGTAGATTATAACTCACTTCTCAAAATAGGCCTTCATATTTAAGTCTTATTAAGAAGAAGTTTGATATCTTTTATGATTGTTGGTTTATTTCTCCATGCTGGTTGGTGTCAACCATCGATGTGACAATCCAACAATATAAAGGAGCAAAACCCAAGGTGGAGGCACGTGCGATCAGGGGGTCACATGCCCTCTCCTCAAATTTTATAAAATTGCATTTTTACTTTTATTTGAAATTTTAAGTAATTGCTTTCAAGTTTCAAGTATACCTCTTAAATCTCTACACCTCATCTTTTTTATTTATTTATTTTTAGCAAAATCTTTGCAAAATCAACAAGGTTAGTTGGTTAGTAAAAATATTTGCATTTCACTATAAAGTCATAGGTTCAAATATCTCAGTCTATTTGTTGGTTGTATTCTTCATATATTTATTTATGATTTTTCTCTCATATTTTTGAGAATTTCTTTGTATTAGTTAATGTCATATTGATTTTCGTCATTAATTAAAAAAATACAAATCCTTGCAATTTGTCACTCTAAATGTTTAATTTTGCAAATCTTTTCTTATGAATTTTATATTGTTTTTCTTTCTTTTCTCTCTCTTTCTCTTTTTTGTGTGTGTATTATTTAATTTTTTCATTCTCATTTTTAATACCGTATTTTAATTATAATACTCATTATGTTCACAAAACTAAAATAGAAAATCAAATTAATAATAAATAAACAACAAAAAAATCAACAAAACAAAGAAAAAAATTGATGAACTCAATCATGATCTAAATATATAACTTTGACATAATGCTCATCTTTGTTTTGTCACCAATTAAAAATCAGGATTGGTTGCATTATGACTTCAACACAATGTTGTCCCCTTAACCAGAAATATTGACTGTGACACTTTCATGATTTTATTTTAACTTTGATTAGAGAACCAACTTATAAATTGATTTATAAGGTGCAACCAAAGAAATACTAAGTTTTGTATATAAGGCCAGGGAGTTTTGTAAATGTGTATATATATATATATATATGAAGGGGCTAAATACAAATGAAACGGGTCTAAGCCTTGGGCCAGTCCAAACCATTAAGCTCAAATTCGAATGGCCATCTGATATAGGCCAGATACCAACACGGGCCAAATCATATTGAGCCCAACTCCACATCATCCTCCAAAGTCCTTAAGCACTTGGGACAAGCTCAGAATGATAGGACCAGTGCAGGCGAGGTATTGACCTGGGCTGAACGGATGGGCCGTGCCCATCAGTAGAATCGAAGTGAGCGAAACCCATACAAAGTCATCCAAATGAGTCAGCCCATCTCTATAAGCAACTTCATGAAAAGCCAAATTGAGGTATGGTCAAGACGGAGCTGAGG